TAAAGAGCAAGGGAGACATGCGGTACAGATACAACATTCCAAGGCTACTTCTCTACTCAGCCTAAATCATATCAGATCTAAGAACCAAGCAAGGGAGCTAAGTAATACTGAACAGCCATCACATTACATACAGACAAGATTCTGCAGTTCTTAACCAGGAACATGCATCGGAAGTAATTGTGGGCTTTAAAAGCAAATGCAAGCCTGGGCCCCACCCCCAGAACTTGCTCTGGAAGTCACAGTGGGAACTGGGTAGCCATGTCTTTACAAGCTGCACAGGGATTTCTGATGTAAAACCTCACTTGAGAACTGCATATTTCCTCTGTGCCAAGGACAGCTGTAGGGTGTATGTTCATGTGTATATGCAACATGTACAGCAATTGCAATGTACACATACCTATCAGCACCCCCATCTCTGGTATACATCCAGAAGAATTCAAAGAAGGACCTCAGAGAGACATCTGCACACCCACGTTCACAGCAGCATTGTTCACAATAGCCAAGAGGCAGAAGTAACCCAGGTGTATTAACACCTGGATGGATAAAGAAAATGTAGTATAGACATGTAAAGGAATATTATACAGCCTCGAAAAAGGAACCTCTGACACACGGATGAAGGGCATGAATGAACCTTGAAGACTTTATGCTGAGTGAAACAAACCAGTCACAAAAGGACAAACACCATTATGACTCTGCTCACAGGAAGCATGGAAAGTAGTCATCATCACAGGAACAGAAAGCAAGGCGGTTACCAAGGGCTGGGAGAGGCGGAGGGAACTGGTGCTTAGTGGGCACAGAGCTTCAGAGTCACGAGACGGAAAAGTCTACGGATCTGTCACCCAACCATGTGAGCATCTCTAACACGACTGAACCATACACTTAAACGTGGCGAAGACGGTAAACTTAATGTCATGCCTCTGATCATAATTTTTTTAAAGAAGACAGGCGCAAAGATCCTGCTCGAAAATCATGCGCCGCGGTTTCTCATCGCGCCGACGCCTCTCCGGAACGGTGAGCGAGTCCGCACGTCCAGCACCTGGAGAGAAAGCAGCCGGGTGACCGCCACTCACGCACGACGTAGAGCGCCACTCTGCCGTCTTCCCCGTGCCGCAGGAGGTTCTCCGCGTAGTTCAGACGGCTGCCTCTGAACCACTCGGGGACGTCTGCGATCCCTTTTGATGGGTCCACAACCTGCAGAGAACGACAGCAAAGCAGGGCGAGATCTACACCGCGAATAAACCACCGGGGCTCCACTCCCCGGGAGGCCCGAAGCGTCATCGACACGTTTTGTGGACTGGACGTGGAACTGGCCCAAAGGCCTGAAACTAAAAACATAAAACAACCCACCGTGGTTACGCATACGGTTACTGAGAGATCCTGAGCACGCTCACCGCCCCCCTCAAAAAAATAGGTTATGTGAGGTGAGGGATGTGTTAATTCCACAAAGTGTATCGATATCAAATCATCGCGGCGTACACCTGAAATGTATACATAATTATATTTGTCAATTATTCTTCAATAAAGTTAAGAAAAATTAATGCCAAGGGAAGACAGCATCCCTCCTAATTTACTTTTTCAACACATATTTTTTAAGCACCTGAGTTACGAGAGATGCTGAAGACAGAAAGTAAACAAGACAGATGTGGCACCTGCCCAACTTCCCAATGTCAGACAGATACATGAAAACTGAAAGGTCGGACTCCAGGGCCCGCTTGACCCCAACATGACTTCTGGAAGTTTGGCCCCGGCCTCCTTTCTCCAGGGCCGGAAACTTGATCTTCTCCAAGTGCCTGCAGCTGAACCTTACCGAATGGTTTCCCCTATAACCAAACCGAAAACACGGTGAATTATACTTTGAATAACAGGATGTTCCCCAGATAGTTATTGACTGTCAGCGTAAGAAGAAAGATCTCTAAAATCCAGGTTAAAAAAAAACAATGAAACTATTGAGAGTAGTTTCATTACTCTCGGGGGCGGGGCTGTCCTGATTTTTATTGACGCAAACCCACCACCACCAGTCCTAAAAGGAACAAACCTGAATGTAAATAATATCACTGAACTATATACACTTTAAAGCAGTCAAGATGGTAAATTTTATGTTATGTGTACTTTTCCACAGTTTTAAAACTTTTTAATAAAATGAAAATAAACGACGGCCTACCACTTAGGGTCTCAGCGTCTCAGGACAGGGCCTGGGTCCACGCGCGTACAAGGGCCCAGCGGTGGCACAGACTTCACGGCAAATTGTGACCCCAGCACAATTTTCCACCAAATCTCTAGAGAAATGACTTTCCCCACCGATGTGAGGTTTTCAAAGAAGATATGGTTCGAAGTCCCAAAAATTAACCCTTCACTTTAGAATATAACCATAAAGAGATAATAGATAAGCAAACTCTCTACTTACCTCGTCATACATGCGTGAGTAGACAATCCTGCTGAATTTCCAGAACTCTGCCCAGAAGTCCGAATATGATTCAATTGACCAACGATACAGGTCATTGTAGTTTTCTAAAAATAAAATAAAATGGCACATAGCTCAGATAAATCATAGTAGAGTCTTAGCTGTGGGATACGTAGATGGACGCACCTAGGGAATGTCAGGTGTCTGAGTGGTTCAAAGGCATCTGATGAGAAACGGTCTCGGGGGTGGGGGGGGTCCTGATTTTTATTGACGCAAACCCACCACCACCACTCCTAAAAGGAACAAAGCGACGAGGCAGTGGTTTTGTATCTTAACCAGCATGTCTAGGAACAAGGACTCCAGAGCCACAGGGTTCAAATCCTGGCTTGGCCATTTATTAGCTGTGCGACCTCAGGCAAGTTACTTCTGCATGGGGTGTCTGTTTCCCCGTCTGTAAAATGGAGGTGGTAACTAGCGCCCCTCCTTCATAGGGCTACCGGGAGGGTTCCAACGAGCACGTGTATAAAACGCTTACGATGGGGGCCTGGACGTCAGGAGTCTGCCATCGCCCAACCCTACACACTCGGGGAGATACAGTCACGAGATCTGAAAACCCGGAAGTTCCAAACTGGAAGCTTACCGATGACTTCTTGTGCCAATGCGATGTTTGGGGGAGTTTGGGGGACTACTTATCCCTTTTGATCTTTCGGTAAGCAATACATCCACATGATTCAAAATTAGAAAAGTAGAAAAGGTTATCTGACCAAAAAAAAAATAGTGTCCCACACAGCCATCCACCTTTTCTTGCCCAGAGGGGACCAGGCACAGAGGTTTTATGCATGAGTAAAGCCACCCCTCTCTCCACTTGTCACAAACGGAAGCGTGCTCTTCACGCCAGGGGAACTCTGAAAAATCCTGTCCCCCTTCGGGCCTTTTCAATGTCAACATATTCCAGTAGGACATACATTTATATGCTGGTGCTCCAGGCACTTGGTGACAGCCAGACAATGACCACCAGGTGTCAGGAACAAAAAAAAGCACAATACAATGACTCGGCTGGATTCTCTCACCGCCAACCATCAACCAACTTCACGCAGGTTTAACTTTCTGCACGTTCCCAACCGTGGGGGGTTGGGGGGCAGGTACGGAGAGGAAGAGACACAGGGATCTCTGCCCTTTGCCACCTTCACTCCTCAGTGGCCTCCAGTAATGGTCCGCAATCATGCTGGACTCAGGAGCCAAGAAGAAGACTGATCTCTGACAGCCCGGGCAGCAGGGGCAGGGTCTGGACACTGGGAGGAAGCCAAGAGCCCCGGCAGAGAGCTGGGCTGAGCAGGTCTGCCACACGGATGGAGAAGTGGGGACATCTGGCCCAGAGGTCACACAGCTGAGATCAGGGCACAGGGTCTTTAGGGTTCCAAGCTCAAGAAAGACAGGGACTCGGACTTATAGTAAAGATGGCTGCACCTCCTCCAAGCCCCACGAGAGAACTTCACCCAGCTCCACCCCATCTACTCAACCCAAGGGCCACAGACCAGGTCAAGCAGGCACACGGAAAACACGCCAGGGACAGTGCAGCTGGAAAGCTGGGGCCAACCCCGACTCTAGGGACCATGTTCGGGGGGCTCGGGCAGGCCATCCTGCCCCTCTGGGATCCAGCGTCCCTCGTCTGTCATGGACCGACCTCTGGGGAAGACCTTCCCACAGCCGAGCAGAGTCACCCTGTGCTTCAGGGCCAGGCTGGGTGGCCTGCGTCAAAATCTCAGCTCTGCCACTCACTGAGCCATGACCTCGGGCGAGTGCCTCACCCCGACCCCCGAGCCTCAGCATTCCTGTCTGTGAAGTGGGGGAACCGCAACCCTTTTGTGGGCTGTGCTGAGGACGGAGGGGCCGAGCTCTGCGCTGACTGCCCGCGCTCACACCCGCCACTCCAATCACACCCGCCACTCCAACCAGATGGTCTCACACAAGTCATGAACTGTCTCTAGGCCCCAGGCACTTCCTCCATGAAAGGAAGACAGTGGTACTTATCACAGGATCACTGTGAGAACTGAATGAGGCAAAACACACAAAGCAGTAAGGACCGCGCCTGGCAGAGAGAAAATGCCAGAAGGTGTCAGCCATCATCATACCCGGTCATTTTGCAGAAGTGTGATGCGTGAGAAGCTACGTGATAGTACACGATAAGGTAAGACATCGAGACAGGGACATAAAGTACGAGAAAGTGACCGTCATTAGCAGCGGGCCACGTTCTCGGCCAAGACAGAGGTCAGCACTGGCTGGGGCGTCGCCGGGCAGGGAGCCTCCAGGGGCAAAGGCACCGGACACAAGGCCCCGCCCTCCCTCTCAGCCTTTTGTTTAATCGCCTTAGTCCTCCCCAACTACGGGAGTCAGACACCAAAAACTCCTCCTAAACGCTACAGGGAAGGGCCAGAGGCTTGAAATCTAGGCCTCTGCTGAAGACTTCAAAAGTCCATCACGAAGTCAGTCACCACTAGGCTGCTCTTCCGGAGACAAGTGGCCACGATGCAGTCTTGGTGGGGGGTGGGAACGGACTCCATGCAGAACGAGTGGGCGAAGTCATGGAGTGTGATTCAGGCTTTCGCTCACACACACTCCCACCTGCACTTGGAGGCTGCGACCCGGGGTCCGGATGATGGGCCGGGGACACGGTACATTTGGGTTGGTTTCCGCCTGTTCAGAAAGCACCTAAACTCGCTGCCACCAGGAAAATCACAGTTTCCAAGTGAAATTCGGGGTTTCTGGCTTCTCCTGAGAAAACAGAGTATCTGGCTGGGGTAGCCGGCCAGTGATGCTCACCGCCTGGCATTTTGGTCCCCGTGCCGTCCCCTGCCCACACTGAGCAGAGCTCATCTGTGAAACCCACGGGATTCACAGGGAAACAAGCGTGCACAACATGTGAGGCTCAGTCATAAAAGACATCGCAGCTTCCGCCTCGGATGACCTGCTCTGTGAGAAGCCGGTGGCCACGTCGTGAGGCCACTCCAGTAGTCCTAGATGACGCGAAACAGAAGCCTCCTGCCCCCAGCCAGCACTGACTCACTGCCATGGGAGAGGGCCACCATGTTCCTCCAGCCCTCGTCAAGCCTTCGGGTGACGGCGGCCTCCTGAGACCCAGAGCCAGAGACCCAGGTGGGCCGCTCCCAGATCCCCGACCCACAGAAACTGCTGTTTTACATCGCCAAGTCTTGGGGTGATTTGTTATGCTCAGTAGATAACTAATGCCCTGTCACACCATATAGTGACAACTGGCTAGGGTGGGGTGCCAGCTGCCCCACCTGGCCATAACACAGCAGCTGGGAGCACTGATTCTGGACAGTACAGCCCCAACCCGCACAGCCCAGAGCTCTCCGCCCAGATTGTGGGGTTTTGTTCTCTCAACACCCCACAGGGTGGGGCACCAGCAACACCTTCTGAGTCAATTACTGAGGATTAAGTTAGTTAATATGTGTGAAGTGCCCGGATGGGGCCAGGTGTATAGAAAGCACTCGGCAAATATCAGCTATTATTAATATCTCCAGCACCTGCCTGGGCCCTGCAGGCATCTGAGTTTGTCAGCTCAGCTTTCCACACGCCCCCTTCTTCCCTTCCACCTATGGGAATTCTGACCAGCCTACACCTTCCAATCTCAGCTTGAGATCTCGTCCGCGCCTTTCAACGGCACTCTGGCAGCCCAGGACGGCGACGCACGAAGGCGGGCAGCGTGCTGCCCTGCGTCTGCCCCTCAGTGCTGTCGCTTCGCAGCGAGGTCATTTTCACGGGAACTTTCTCCACCCCCAGCGACACGTAATCTATTTGAGAATGGGGACCCACAGAGGTGAAGTGCAGCTTGTGGTGTACAAAAAGACACTCGGCATGTACCATAAAGCAGTGTCGCTCCCCTAATTACACAGGTCGGGTACATGCAGCGTGTGCCCTGGGGCCTTGCGCGTGAGGCCAGACATCACGTGCACATATGCCGGACCAGGGCTGCAGGCTGCCCCTGAGGGGGTCTGCTAGGTGTGCAGGGAGTCCTCAGGTGAGCTCTGCTAGGAGCAGTGACAAGAACCAACCAACCTACGGCCCTGGTTAGAAAAGAGAACCTGTAACTCCAAGGGCCCATCCCTCTGAATAAGCTCAAGGAAGGTGTTGAGGCTGGGGAACCCCCTGCACCCCCCGCCCCCATACTCAGGGCAGGAGCGGGGCTGAGGCACCTGTGAGGGTGTGCGCCTTGCTGTCTCGGCACATCCGGTCAACAGCACTGCTCAGAACTGTGCACCAACTATGCACAGCCACACTTGGGGGCCCGGGGGGGGGGGTACAAGTTCAAGGGTACTAGCTTTAAGCAATAAGAATGCTCATAATAAATGAAAAGGCAAGGCAGGATGCCAGTCCAAATGACACATACTTGAAGAGCAGAGGAAAGGAGGAAATGGTCGGAGAGCATGACCACAGAGAAGGCGGCCTCTGAGCTGGGTCTGAAAGCAAAGCCCAAACCTCCAGGGCCAGGCCTGTGGAACGAAGGGAAGCAGCCGGAGGTAACCATCAGGAACAGAAGAGGAGGAAAAGCCAAAGCCAAGCTCTAAACACCCCCCGCAACCACCAAAGGAACCCCGCTCAGCTCAGCTGATGGCCGCCACGTGGGCAAGCAGACCCAGCATCACAGGCCATGTTTCCTGAAGAAGCCGTAAATCTTTCTTTTCCTACACGGTCTCCCCTCACGTGAGCCATCTGAACTAAGCCTGCACATTCATTCTTGCCCACGGGCCACTAGTCTGCGAGCCTGATCACCTCCAGTCACTCTCACGCCCACCCAGTGACACGAGTGGCTCACTTTACAGATAAGGAAACCGAAGCTTGAGATCTGTGATTTCCTTCTGATCACACAGCTAGTAAGCGGTGGAGCCAGTTCAAAATCCAGGTAGTCCGATTATTCACCCACCTGACAGAGCTGCCTTTACATGAAATACCGTGTAAAGCATCAGGGCTAGACAAGCACCTGCGTTACTGCTGGCAAAGGAAGGAGGTTGGAATCCAGGCGAGGTAACACAGAAGAAGGGTATGGTCCTGCTCTGAGCTCTCATTGGAAATCAAGTCTGATCTCCCCCAATCCAACACACGCTAATTTACCAACTAGAGAGTAATAAGACCCATTTGTCTGGGGTGGGGGGAGGAGGGATGGAGCTGGGAGAGCCAAAGGAAAGGGTTTGGTAGAAGTTATGACACCGCCATATGCTGTGGAGAGTCCAGAAGCTGCCAGGTGGCACCATTTGCAATCCCCTGGTTGACAAGAGCCATCGTGAGACCCTGAGCCAAAGACGGACAAAGTCAAACCTGCCTGCTTTGGCAAAGCAAGCAGAATGTGCTGAAGAGGGGAGGGAGGAAACGCAGGCAGCAGGAAGACCCGTCCATTTTCAGAGAAGAGGAAAGGAGGGCCTCTGGAGAGGTGCTGGCACTGGGGTGAGGGGGTGCAGAAGGTACTGCCGCTGAGGTAGACACCCTGTGCAGGCCAGATGAGTCGGGTCACCACTTCTGTGAGGCTGAGTGAGGACAGTGATACCACCATATGGAATCACAAGCATTGCCGCAGCCAGTTGAGGGGCGAGATGGGAGGAAAAGCCATGATGAGTCGAAGACCCCTGGGGGGCGGGGGTGAGGTGCAGCAGGTAGACGGACAAGCCGGTTGGAGCTGCGGGAAAGCACCAGGCAAAGGGGCCTTCCTCTGCCCAGCCCTCCCCCAGCCAGGGGCTTCCTGAGGGGCCCCAACTGGCTTCTGCATGGAGCAGGGGTGTGAGCACGAGGGGAAGGAGGTCCTCCCGGATCCCAAAGGAAGGTTCCCGTGGGGCCATCCTTCTCCTAGGCGCCGGGAGTCTGCGCTGGCCTTCCAGCAGGATCAGCCAGCCTGAGGGTTTGGGCGGTGGGGCTAAGAGGGGACAGCACGAGGTATAATGATCTGGCAAGCGACGCCCACAAACGGAGGAGTAGAGCTGGCAGTCAGAAAGGGCGTGTGTGTCCGGGAGGAAGCCCCCAGACTGGAGTGCAAGACCCCAGGAAGCACCTTACCTGACAAGTAGGAATCTCGTGAGCAAGGGACTCTTGCTCAGGGCACGGGGGTTCCAAGACCAGAGGCGGGACCTCCCAGGGAGAGGGCGCCCTACATACAGGGAGATGCTGCAGGCAGGAGTCCAGCAGCCTGAAAGCAGAGGGGGTGACGCCCCGGACGGACAAGGGGGCAAACGGAGCATCCATATTCTTCATCTGCCTAGTCTTACATGTAGGCCCGCCCCCGGTCAGAAGTGCCCCATCCCCTGGAGAGAAACTTTAAGTCCACTCGCTCCTCCAACCCCCACAGGAGGAACACTGGACATCTGGAGACCACTCTAAATGACAAAGAGGGGCCCTGACAGAAACGTCCAGGAAAAGGAGGCGTCCCGGTCCCCAGGAGGAGGGCCGCTCCGCCATGTGGTCCCTCGGCCCCCGAGGGAGGTGGCCGGGAGCCCTGGGGCCGCGCGCGCACTCACGCAGCGACAGGCCGCGGGCGGCGCTCACGGCCGCGCGGAAGCGGTCCATCTCCGTGTTCCTCTTGCTGTCAGGCTCCCACATCACCCGGCACTCCAGGATCTCGTCCTGCCGGGCCTGCAATTCCTTGGACATGGCTGCGGCGGGGGCTGCGCGGGGACCGGGACGGCGGAGGCTGGGTACTCGGCGGAGGACCAGACGCGAGCTGCGGGGCAAACGACTGCAGCGGCGCGGCGGTCGGGGAAAGACACCCG